GGGATGGAGTTTCAAAGGTCTGTGCTGGGAGAGTGCCTGTCCTTCGTGGGCAATAGAGTGATTGCTTAAGGTGACCAGACTATACTGATTTCATTAACCCTAGGATTAGATCTTGGAGTCATTTAAAAGCGGCCCTCTGTTTGTCCTGCATTGGCTGTCCTTGGGGACTGCAGAGTGACTTGGTCCCTCCCGACACTCAGATCAAAGTGCTGGAGAAGGCTCAGCTGGTCAGAACACGGTGCTGATAACGCCAAGGTCTCACGGGCCACTCACTTCAGAGTTGGGCTCGATGGTCCCTGTGGGTCCCTCCCAGCTCCGAATATTCTGTGAGCCCTGGGGACCCTGAAGCTGGTGTGAGTTATTCCATCGTGTCCACTGGGGCTGTGCGTTCAGCTCAGGCCTTGGAAAGACTTTAAGTGTTTCCTGATAGTACAAATTATCCCAGTGATTGGGCTGTTGTTCCGGTGGCAGCTCTAAGGGCTCTGATAAGGAAGCCCTTAATTACACACTTAGCTTCATTCATTGATGATAACTCAGCTGTGGGTGGGGGTGTAAGTATAAGTAGGTTTCTTATAGTAATTTTTTTTTTTTTAATGGAAGCGCTTCTAATTACCACACCCAAGACTGAAATGTAATGATTTGGAACAAGTGTAGTGGAAAGCCCAAAGCTGAGCCTTTTTACCTGGCTGATTTTCACTTTTATTTCCCCCCAAGGTGTAGTTCTGAGGCAGTCCCAAGAGCCCAAAGAGCTGTGGGGATATGTGCAGGTTCGGAGTAAGGCCCACATGTTCTGGTGGCTCTACTATGCAAATAACCCAACCAAAGACTTCACAGAACTACCTCTCGTCTTGTGGCTTCAGGTAAGGTTTGCTGAAAGACACCTCAGTGATAATTCTTTCCATCTGTGGTTCAGTTTGACTGGTATCTTGCAGCCCTCCAGAAACAGGGTTGAAAATTGCCTAATTCTAAATGACTCACCTTGTGAATGAGGTGTTCAGGTTGGGAAGAAACAATGATGATGACTCCTGCAGTTGTGGGGTGTCCCCAGCTGCTCACCTTCCATCAAGTTCAATTACAGAAACAAAAGTTTTTCTTGTCTTTCACCCAACAGGAGTGATTTTAGTGCACTGTAATGTCACAGCTCCTTTCCTGGAGAGCTTGCAGTCTAAACAATGTTCAGAGAGAGAGAGTAGATAAAATAATCAGAGATGTAAAATGGAAACAAGAGAGACTGTTTATAGATTGGTCCCATACTGTCCCAGTTTGATGAAGGCAGTGGCATGTTCTCCACAGTCACCTCCAGCAGTACATTTCAGAAGTTAATGTTGAATATAATCACTTTGAGGATTTGGTCTTTTTCTTTCTGGGTTATTTCATCAGGGTGAAATGCACAGGCTGTACATGCTGGTTAAACTAATGACTTGCAAACCCCTGCAGATCACTGACTTCTGCATTTGTTATTCAGGGAATGAGGTTCTGAAACTGCCCACTTAGCATGCAGCTCATCAGATGATCTCCCAAGTGACTGCTTCTCTGGTTAATTCTTGCTTTCAGAAATGGGATGTGTGCACATAATGAAAGATGAGGAACAGAGCCTGCTCTGCAAATTAACGTGTAGTGCCAAAGCCATTTTTCAAAATTTACAATCTGTCGTTCTACTTACTGGCTCACTTTTACTTTTCTCCTATCTGTTGTGTGCCGTGCTGCCTTTTAACTTCTTTGTCATTTGGTTTTTTCCCCACAGGGAGGTCCAGGATCTTCAGGTTGTGGATTTGGGAACTTTGAAGAGATCGGTCCATTAGACAAAGAAATGAAACCAAGAAATACAACCTGGGTACAGTAGAGAGTTAAGCTTCTAATTATTGATTGCAAATGTTTGTTTGCTTGTGTAAGCAAGCTATGCAAAAACACACAGAACAGTTTTCATGTAAAGTTCAGTAGAACTATAATATTTCATCTTAAAATAGTGTGGTTAATAAATTGGCTCATAGGAGTAACCTTGTTTAGAGCTGAAGACTGCACCTATTAATTTGATTTGCTGGAATATGTCTGGGCTTCCATGAATTTGTGAAGTGCAGTTATCTGGGAAGCAGAGAGCAGGGAAACTGTAGAAAATGTTTTTTCAGATCACAGCTTCATTGTGGGCAGTCATAGAGCTTTTTCTGGATGGATGGCAGTGTAAAATGTATGGCTTGTAATTACAGGTCCAGTGTGGCCTTGAAGGGAAAACAAATTACAACTGCCTATGAAGGTGGAAGTTCAATTAATGAAATGTATTTGTGCTCTGAGCTACAAACAGTCTGTAGTACTTTGGAGTTCCCCACATCACGTGGGTGACCTGCCCCTGGATCGCTGGGGTTTTTTGGGTGCATTTCTTGTTGCAGATTGGGCAGTTTGAAAGACCTGATGTTGTACTTCTGTATTGGTGAGCTTTGCTGCTTTGAGCCACGAGAGCTCTCTGTGCTGATCTGATTTTATTTTTACAGTTGTAACTATACAACGATATTATTTACTACAACAATCTCACAAAATCCCAGCAACCCAAAAGAGAAGATTTTTCTGTAGAAGGCAACCATTTTCTTTGTTTTACATTCTGATAGACAAGTGTCACCTGTACCATTTCTCTCTTTTGGTCTTTCACCTAATCTTTCTGCAAGTTCTTTCAGCCTCACTTAATCATTTGTGCCATCAAAACTTAAGTTTTTTGCTGGTGCTGAGCTGTGGTTTCATACAAACCTTCTTTCTGCTTTTACAGTTGCAGGCAGCCAGTATCTTGTTTGTGGACAATCCTGTGGGCACTGGATTCAGCTATGTGGATGATTGTAGCTTGTTTGCCAGAAACCTTTCCATGGTAGTTTCTGATATGATGGTTTTCCTTGAGGAGTTCTTCTCATGTAGAACAGAATTCCAGGTAAGTGAATTGAATTCTCATTTAGCATTTACTTTTTCTTTGCTTTTAAATAGAACTGAAAAAGAATTAGTGAACATATTTCCAGATGGGCAGTGTTTGCTGCTAGGTAGGGGTTGGTGGGACTCAGTGCAAGTATAATCACTGCCTCTTATTCCCCCCAATTCAGAATGTGTCTTGAATTTGGGGTTAGTTAGATAAGCATTGGGGTGGATTGTTGTCTGTTGAGTGATCTGAGAAGCATAAGAAAAATACTGAGTGTTTGGTAGTGAGAGGTGAACAGCCAGTGCCTGGCTTCTGTGGGCTGTGGTTGCAGGTATCTTCTGCCCTCTGCCCAACGAGT